TTCACATAGTCAAAATTTCATTTTAAAAGAACAGTGATTCAGTACAAAGATGTGTCTGTATTTTATGTACACCAATGAGCACACTCTATTTGTTTAGAGAATGAACACTTTTTATTGCACAAAGAACTAAAAGGAATTTCAAGGAAGTAAGACAGTAGCACAGCATCACGCTGTGTTTCCTGACTAACTACTTTCAGAGTTTGGACCCAGAGAAACTGGTGTGTGGTTGCATAACGAATAAGTCAGGCTGTGTGGAAAAACTGGAAAGCCACGACAGAGAACTAGTGACCACATGAAACACAGAAATCATGGCTTTTAAAACAAAATATGCATTCCTAGAAGAGATATTGCAGCTGTGCCTGCAAAACTAGCAGAGGGCAAGCAACAAATCTCCCCTCTGGAGGGTGGAGGAGAATCTCACCAATCCAATTAAAAAATGGCAAAAAGCAAGAGACAGACATATTTCAAATCAGGAACTACAACTTGTCCACAGCCATATGAACATTAGTCATCATCACTAGCACCCAAGGAAATAACATTAAAAACAGCATTGACATTTCAGATGTCCCCAGTCAGAATGACATTTATCAAGTTGTCAAATAATAAGTGAAGTGCAGAGAGTGGGAGAAAAGTATAATCTTACACATCCAGACTGAAAAATTAAGATTTCCACACTGAAAAGCAATATGTAGAATCCTCCAGATTCTAGGAATATAACTGCCATATGACCCAGTTTTTCCACTCCTTGATTTGAACGCCAATGTACCAACACCAGCATGTACATGTGACTTTTTAATGTCAACGTTTTAGCACTGTAATCACAATTACAAAGTTATGGAACTAACTCTAATATCCATCAAGGGGAAAATGTATATAAAAAAGATACTTGTCACTGATTTTGAGCAGATTAGTTATTTATAAATCCCAATATTTTATATGAATTCAGTTCCCTAAATGTTCTAACATAAAAGTTGCAACAGCAAATCTCCTTAATTATACAAAGGAAAATACTTTAGTGAAAAATAGGAAACTAATGTATAATCCTCTCAATTCAAATGCCACATTTTCACCAAAGAAGGTAGTTGAATTTTCTCAGAGATATCAACCAGAATTCAAAATACTGCCAAATTGGATAGGCAGAATGGCACTGCAAGATTTCAGAAAAAAAACCTTCATTCTTATTTTAACTTTTATAAGATGGAACTCTTTCATAAACTGTGGTTATTGAGGCACCCACACAAGTATTAAGGTAGGTGTAAAGGAGAACTGAGACAGATCTGCTGATGGCTCTGGGAAGCTAGACTTCGGTCCTGTGGTCTGCCTAAGGATGAAGAGTTCTTGGCACTTTCATTGAATGATGTTGTTTGAAGCTTTGTGAAAGCAAGTGCCAAGGTTATTTCTGGTAGAAAAATTGTCCTCCTACAGAACAAGACACATGTGCAGACACACATGAGCAGATAGGGTCAAGCCACTCAGCTGGCTTGAGAGGCATTTCAAGTTCTTGTCTATGTTACCACCATGCTGATACTTGTAGACACCTTGCTGGGTATTACAATAAAATCCTGAGAGCAGACAACTTTGACAAGGGTCCCCTTGTAGTAATTCTGTGGGTGAGATCAGAAACCACTGCTTGTCTTGAACTTCCAGATTCATAGGCAACTCTCCGCACAGAATGGTAGAGGTTCACCCTCATCATATGTTCTCAGGAGAGTGATAGTCAGGAATGGGCTGAAAATTCTCATCAGAAATACATGTGTAATGTTTGTTGGACAGTAACTTGAGTAGAAGTCTACAGAGCACTGCATCTTTAAATATTTAGAATAATGATAGTGAAGGAGAGTGCTTTTTGAGAATTTAAGTGACAGAAGAATCCAGCAGTGCTGGGGCATTGTTAGGTGCAATGATATTTTCCTTCAGTTTCCAAAAGATTCTGCAAGCAGACTATGACTGCCATGCTCCAAAAGGTTGCCAGAAAACTATTCAGAGACATGGAATCTTGCCCATCTCTAGATCACTGGCTACAGGAATCAATCAGGCGGTCTGCATTACATACTAGTCCCTAGGCTCCATGAACCACAGTGTTTGTCAGGAAGTTCCCAAATTAGATAGACCCACTTGTCTGGGTCATGAACAAGTACTGAGGATGAGGGTTTTCTTGAAATTGCTAAATTTCCTCAGTATTCTCTGAGTGTGGTGGGAGACAAAGGAGCAGAGGGGCTCAGCTTATTCATGCAAATATCAGGTTAGGCCTTTTGCAGCTAGAGCAAATAAAGATAGTGTTGGATAATATTTGTTTCCCAGAAACCCCCAAAGTTATGTGTGGCTAGACTTAGAAATCCTGGACAGAAATATCTTTTTTTTCTACTGTGTTAACATTAGGGAGTCTCAAACTCTTGCTGTTATTGTTCATTATTTTTTGGCCTGCTATTTGTATTGGTTTTCCATGTTATTTCATTTTTCTCTCTTTTTTTTAATGAGAGTTTCATTCTATTTTGGGGGGGGGGGTTGGTACCCAGAGACAATTTTTATTCTCACTTTAAATCCTTTCATTTCTAATTTTTATTGCATTTTCTCCTCTTCTTTTCTGTCTCTCTTTAGTCCCACCACTTTCACTCTACTTCCTATTAAAAATATATTCCAATAATTGTATCATAACCAAGGCAGGTGTTTTTGGAGGTCAACCTTGTTATTTCCTACTCCATTTCTTCATTTATTGCTGTTCTAGAGATAATTTAAAACATAAGATTTTATGTACAGTGAATACATGTTTTTCTTTATGCTGTGATGGTTGTTGGAGTTTACTCTCTCCTGACAGGAACCAGCCATGCACTTTACGAGAATCAAATAGACATAAAATCCATTGGGTAGGAAAAGTCTGGTATCTGGGAATTTCCATCAGCAATCTTGCTGGTTTGAGAGACTGGCCCCAACCTGTGACTTCCTACACAGTTCCATCAGGTTCAGCACTGCACTGGAGATGGGTTGATCAGGTGAGGCTACACAGCCACACAGCCAGAGTTGGGTGTGGCCACTATGCTAATCAACCTCTTTGCTGTAAGATACCTACCACACCAAAAAAGAACATTCCTCCTGTTTCCAGGTGTGGTGGTGCATGCCTGTAATTCCAGTGACACAGGAGGCTGAGCAGGAGGATTATGAGTGCAAAGCCAGTCTCAGCAAAGAGTGAGGTGCTAAGCAACTCAGTTAGACCCTGTCTCTAAATCAAATACAAAATAGCATGGGGGGATGTGGCTTAGTGGTCTTGCGGCCCTGAGTTCAATCCGTAGTACACACACACACACACACACACACACACACACACACACACGTTTCCTCTTTCTGAAAACTTATCCCTGCCTTTGATACACTCTCCCTTAAATGAAGAACTGGAGACATTTTCAAGTTGCTGAGCTGCAGCTCCACTGAAATTGGGGATCCATTTAAGAGCTCTGCTTCACCTTTCAAACTTAATTTCTAGCTCTGGCTCTTATTTCTTTACTAGTTATTTCAGACCTTCTTTTTCTCAGATGGCTTACATCTTATGAGTAGGGTGATGGTGGCCCCATGATACTCTCCCCTTACAGTGATACTTGTGAGTGAAAGTAGCCCATAAAATATGCTCATTTTCAGCTGTGATACTCAGATGTAAATACTGCCCAGGACATCCCAAAGAGAAACTTGCACACTACAAGTACCCACATGAGTCTATGGACTAGAAATCCATTCAAGTACATGGAAATGAACCACCTACTAACACAGACAACAGGAGAACAGAGGAAAAGACTTTCAAAATTTCATGATTTCCCAAAAATTCCATCCAAAGAATTAGGTCTAACCACAACTAAATAGATAAGGTAAATATAATTAATAGTTGCATTGATTTCTTTAATTTTTTTTTTTTTTTTTTTAGTTGTAGCTGACCAGTTAACTTCTCTGTACTTAAATATTTAATTACTATGTTTGGAATCCCAAAGAGTAGGTTATTTCAATTGGCCTAGTTTAATGTCTGGAAGCAAAAAAAAAAAGAAATGACCAGGAATTTAAATTGACACATGTGCTACCTTTTGCTGGCGATGTGCAGTATCATCAATATCATGAAAACTCTTCTGTTCTGCCTTGGATGATCTGTCCAAATGTGGCTCTGTTGACAAATTCACAGATAAACTACTTAAAAAATTCATGTGAAAGACAAATTATCCAAATTAAAAAGGAGAGTATGAATAATCTTATAATTTTATTTTCCCAGTTTTATATATATATATATTTTTAAATATTTATTTATTTTTTTAGTTCTCGGCGGACACAACATCTTTGTTTGTATGTGGTGCTGAGGATCGAACCTGGGCCGCACGCATGACAGGCGAGCGCGCTACCGCTTGAGCCACATCCCCAGCCCACCCAGTTATATTTTTATTGAAGTTTTACTTTAGGAGAATGTATATCGTATGTGAAATTTTTATTGGTGTTTGTGTGTGGGCCTGTGTATTTTACCCCAAAACATGTGTATCCTTGGCAAATACTATAATGCTTACTTCAGATCCCAAGTCTTTATATTGGAAGACAGAGTGTCTGTAAAGTCCAAGGTTTACTGGAAACGCTGCAGGGGTTTTTAAAAATTTGTTTTGTTTCTTTTCTTTTTTACTATTAGGAATCAGTCTGTCTTGTGAAGCATCTATGTTATTCCTGATGTAAAGTCTTTTTTCTTTTGCTGGGGCTACAACAGACATTTTATAGCTTCCAAACTGGGTAATAAACATGTGACATGTAAAGTATTCATTTTCCTGTCTACTTCCTCAGTTCCTGGACTTGAGTGGACTACTTTTATATTATGTTGCAGTCAGCAGTTGTATTAATTTCCACCACAGTTGAGTTTGCGATAAGAGCCTTAGAAAACAGGTGCTAGGGATGATTTATATTCTAGAGATGGAGATAGTGGAGACTTCAGAAGTGAGATTACCCACCAGAGGCTAGAAATACTCAGAGCTGAAAAGCTGTACATAGAGACAGGGTTTAAATAGGAACATGTTTTTTGATGATTTAGGGTTTGGTGAGAGAAGAGCAAGAGGACAGTGCAGGCAGATAGAGGGAACAAGGTAGAGACTGAGGCAAAATTTACATTATGAAAGATTCCTAGGAAAGTTAAGATGCTTGGACATTCATGTTCTAAAGAGGGACAATGGTCATATGTGCAGTATATGCATAAATAAAAGGACCATCCTCAGGTGACGATGAAGAAGGACCTGTGCATGAATGGAGATGAATAATGAGAAGTGCATTAGCAAGTTGATGCCAGCCTGAATGGAGGAAATATTTCCAGAAATACAGAGGATAGAAAATTCTCAGTGACCTGTTTAGAATGAAGATTAATGACATGAACAAAGAAAAAAAGTAGGCCACAGGAATGTATGGTTTTGTACGTCACTGTTACAAAGATTTCAAATAAGAAGTGCAGTAAAGTACAGCTAATGTGAATGTTGCTTTTCTTTACAAAGTAGTTTTTCTTATGGTAATATCTTCCTATGTTCAGAAAACTCCTTTAGGAAGAAGGTGGGCAATTTTCTGAATCTTGGATATATGAAACACACCAGAAAATGAGAGAAGTCTGTGGGAGAGGTTCAGTGGGAGATCACTGCTTAGCATGTAAAAGGATCCTGTTCAGTGCCCAGCATTGAGAAGAATAGGAACAAACAAACCATGTCAAAGAAATATGAGCAAATGTTTCTTTGGTATATGCAAGTATATATTTGATTTATTAGTCAAAATTTCTGGAAAACTGTACTCCAACAAATGGAATCTATGTGCAAAAAAGGGTCAATAAAAGCAGTAAAATGAATTAAATATGTGTGTTGAGTAAAGCTACAAGACTCAAAGTACTAAAACAAAATCAGGAATATGGGTTCAGTAATATTTACACAATTGAGTTTCTAAAGGAAAAATCATTTTTGGAATGACCAATTATAGAAAGACATAGGTATATATACCAGTGTCAAGATGCAGAATGATCTGTAGTCAGAGGAGGAAAGAAGAAGCCTGAGAAATTCAATGTCAAAGCTGAGTTAAAAATGTGGCAGTACAAATCTTTAGTGAATCTTATCAGAATCATTTAATATATTTTATTGTTTCCTAATCCTCATTTGCCTTATAATTAATAATTCCAAAATTGTTATGAAATTCCCAGGGAAGATATAATTGTTTGCTCATCATGGAGAGTTTTCTGAGCTAATTAGTTCAGATACATGTGCTGAGAGCATCAGCTAACACCATCTCAATGTTTGTTCATACCCAAGTGGGAAACTGGTGTGTCATCTTTTCCTTTATCCACTCGTTTAACCAACATCAGTTGTAAATTTCCTCTCTTGTATGAAGAAAGTGATATAACATCTATGGAAAAAAAGATGTATGGTAAGGTACAAAGGATTCAGACAAGGCCATCCCAAAGAAAAATTGTTCTGAAAACTTGAAGAGTTATCAGATACCAATAAACCATTGTGTTTTAAAGAAATTGGTAAATACACTAAGAGTAATAGTGTTAGTGTTTGAGGAGTAAAATGAATAAAAGTTTCTGGTTAAAAATTGAGTGTGGTGTGGCATATATAGACAGCTTTTTAAGGAATTGCACACAAGTCCCAAATCATCCCAACATCTATCTGCTTTCTAGAGTTCAGAATTTATCTCAGTAATACGGTGCATTCCTGGAATGTCCAGGGACATGGTTTCTCACAAAAATCAATAAAATAATGATGAAAGCAAAATATTAAGGATGTTAATAAGAAATGTATAGATGAAAATATTAGACTTCTTTAAAGTAATGAATCCTTCAAAAATGCAATGTTGCTAATCTGAATGACACATACAAATACCTCACACAATGTGGTGCCTACTAAATAAGAAGGGGAGAAATTGGTAGCTCTAGGTTACCCTGATTCTTCCAGCTGCTACTGGTTCTTATCATCTTAGAACCAGATTCTGACTTGAAAATGACAAACTGAAGAGAGCTGACTAGAATTCTCTCCATTTACTTGTATTTTCTACCTAAATGCTATTTCCTCCCTCACTTTCCCTTCCCTTTAGTTTTTCCAAAAAAAATCCATAAAGTGGGAGCTTCCCTTTTTCCATTTTACACCCTTTATATGGATCTTTGCCACTATTTGTTGCCTGCCAAAGTAACAGATTTATCTTAGAAATATCATTTCTTCATCTTAGTCCTATGTCCTTTGCACATCTCAAGAGACATGCTCAGAATGAAAGCAAGATTTATGATTGCACTTGATCTGGTTGTGTCCTCAAACTGTAGGAATCAATAGCAGTTCTTGCATATTTCCCAAAAGGAGATACAATGCACAGGTCCAAATCATGTAGTCTATACACCAGAATCATTGGAATCACCTTAGATTCTAACGGACAAGTTAGAGGCAAGAGTTTGAAGATGGTGCCCAAAGGATGATTCCTTATAGTTGCAGAGTTCCAGTGTGAAATTTGTCATCTTCAAATTTGTCTAGGTTAATTTCAATGTATCTGTGGATTCCTCCCTAAAATGTCCCCACAAATTAAAATTCATAAGGAAGTGTAATACATTCATTGATAATTTTTCATTATTAATTTTAGATTAACTTTAGATATCTGTGGATTTTGGACATGCTTAATTACCATTCATACTTCTTTATACTTTTACATTTGGTGTTTCTGCACTATCATTTTGCCCTAGGCTGTATCAACATATTGTATGTCATTAAATCACTTGGGGTAACTGAACTTAGCTCTGTGGCAACAGGTCTTCACTCCTCAATTTATTCCCAACTGTGAATAAGTCAAAAAGGGTGGGAAAGTTTTACTTTCCCCTTCACTCAACTTTGGGAATGGAAACACACAAATTCTTCCCACATTTTGAAAACCCTGTTCTTTTCCCTTCTTACCCTCTCCTGACTACCATTTATTCTTTCTATTTTTTTTACTATGTGTACTTACTGCCTTTCTCAGTCTTCACTCCCCATTCTTCTGTGGTTTTCCTTATTTCAG